CATAAATTCTCGACGCAACGACGATATCGTTACATACAGATTAAAGTAGAACAAAATAACACGCTTCCTCTGATAATTCGATATTTCAAAAAGAAATCAAATGGGCACATAATATAGAACTATTTTAGTTATTTTTATACATTACGAGATTGTACACAACTTAAAATTATGCATTTTTGATGTTTTTGCGATAAAATTAAAGATGTGTATCAGGTAATATATATCTAAAATACAATTATTTCAAACATATACTATATATATATATATATAAATGCGGTGATGATTAATCCTGCTATTTGCGAGTAAACGATGCGATAAAAAACGTTGGTGCGTTTTGTTACGGCTAGCGTGCGCGTGTCGCGAAAATCTCATCACTTAAGGCTTAATAACCAGGACACGCAGACTCCGACGAGAACCAGTGCTCATTTATTTCCGCGTCTTTTGCCGCAATAGTTTTTTCTTTTTTTTTTCGCGCGTCCGCTTTTTCTTCCCTTGGCCCTTCGAGTGCGAAAGACCGAGCGCGAAAGAGAGAGAGAGAAAGGGATGTCGGGCGGGCCGGGTCGAGCCCGCTAAAAAACGCCAGTGCGAGTCACGATGACTTTCGGAATCATTTTTCAAAATGTCTGCCTCTGCCTCGAGGGGGGTGACCCCGACGGGCGGCGGCGGCGAGGGGGGACAAGGGGGTGGCAGAGGGGTGGTCAACCCCCGTGGCGTAGGGTGGCAAGATGGCGTCGCACGGTAAATCGATGGAGGCTAGTCACTGCAGGCGCCCTCGCTTTCACAGCTCCGATTCCCCTTCCCCCTTTCTCCCCGTCCAACCCCCAGACCACCACCCACTTTGCTTCCCCCCTCGTTCTCCCCCTCATTTTCGAGCTTCACGCAAGCGCTCGTACCGTGAACGTCGAGTCTTCGGTCATCTAAGCATAATTTTGTACGGGTTCTAGAATAGTAACCTGTATTTTGTCGAAAAATATAAAAAAAACCTTTTTTATCTTTTTTTTTGTTCTAAGAAAAAAAATCAATTTTCGAGAGAACTTGGAAAAAAAAAAAAGAAAACTTGACTTATATATTTTTCTTTCTTTCTTTTCTCCTTTATTCTCGACAGAGATCTCTATGCGAGAAATGTATCAGAAATACAACAATATTTACTAATACACCTCTTGTCGATAATTATATTAGAGCACATCAGTCTGCAAATAACGCGATAGTCGAGAGCAAACGAAGAATTTGCGGGGAAAACGCAAGCCGATCGCATTCCGATATGATTTTTCCGATAAACCTATCTCATTTTAATATTCAACACCTGTAAACGCACCGGAACAAAGGCGATAGCCGCTACAGATCGGGTAGTATTTGTATCGGATGCATCCCGTGAAGCGCGCGCTGTGTACAATAAAAATTTCAAGCGGATCGTTAAAACTGGTTTTTTTTATCCCGCGCACTGTGTGCGAGAGCGCGAACCTGTTTGATTCTCTGTCTGAGAAATGTAACCGCCGAGAGCGAGAACCCGCCGCGGCTTTTAAAAAAAACACACGCCACAACAGGTTTCCGTCTCTTAATCCTTCTGCGCTCGCTTAACAGTCTCTCGCGTCAATGTGCAAATGAAAATTTTCATAGACGTTAATGTCGCCTTCCTCGTACCGGCTAATGCCACGAAATTTTCATAAGTGCGCTAATTTCATTATACTAATTAGAATATTTTAAAATTTACGTAAACGCGCGACATGGGGGCCACGTCGTAGGACTCAATTACGAATAAAACCCGCGAGCACGAGCGAATTAAATGTCTCGGTGGGAAAACATGTATTTAGAAGGACGCTTTTCTAGCTATTTAACACACATGTAAGTTGTTCTCCTCTCTCTCACACGTGCCACTCTCTATATTGCTAGTCGAAGACGCATGCAGAGCGAAATACCGATTGATCAATCAGATGGTCTGATATCGTCTATTATCGGAACTCCTCGTCCTGATGTTTGACGTTGATGCCCGTCTGAGATTTATGTACGTCGCAAAATGTGTTTTGATTAAACCATAAATAGGCATCGATACAGTCGCATTGTATGAACTCGATGCACTTTTCCAATGTTCTCTTTTAAAATTAACATCAATAAAAAAAGATTATTACTTAAAATGAACATATCGATTTGACAAACTGACGTACTAATAATTTTTGAAATAGGTATTTATCAAATTTATTGACGTTTAAAATATAAAATATTAGCCAAATAATATTTATCATTTTTTGTAATACCAACTTTTTATATATTAGTTTTATTAGATATTCAACTACTGTTTATTAGATTAAGTTTAATACGAGAATGAATATATTATATTGTGTTTCTTATTTGTTTAAATCTTATCTTTATTTTTTTGTTGTATCGTAAACTTGTAATACGTTATTATCATTCGAAGGCGTACATATTTGTTCTAACATTTACCATGTTATTGCATAAACATATGTTTAATGTAAATATTTTAAAACACGATCAAAAAATCAATATATATCTATATATATGTGAATAATTAATGCTTATCAGTGTTTTAAGAATGATTAATAATGCGGATAACAAGATTGATATACAAATGATTGATTGTCCAAAATAAAATTACAATCAAAGCGTGAATTGCGTAAAAACTCCATTTACTTGATAGCTTAATTATATCATTAACCCGATATTAACTCGATAATTAATATAATAATAATATAGAGAATAATAATTTACTTAAAATATTAAACTCTTTCAAGGGATGTATTGAGGTTTGTAGAGAATATGTGTGAGAATATATGTGTGAGCTAACCGATCATATATTATATTTTAAATACATTTATTATTTAAATTTAAATGATTTATCAAATTGTTACGCTGTATTAATTTGCATTTTTGTATTTTTAGTGTTTTGCGTGCGATGTGCGATCCTTCTCTCTTTCTCTCTTTCTCCTTCCCCTCTCTCTCTTTGTTTGTTTGATGAAATATCCATTAATATTTCTGCATTACTTTTGATTGCTTCTTTTAATTTTTTTATTTCTTAAATCTTAACAGAGATCTTTGTCAAGTTAATAAGATTTGCTGATTAATTGTATCGAATAATCTGTAATCTATAAGAATTGAATTGAATTTATGATGCAAAGCAAATGCGCAAAAATGAGAAATCTAACACAATAATAGAATCAGAGGCTGCAAATTGAATAAAACTGACATTTAACAAATAAACATATCAATAAATGACATCTTATCAAGATTGATATTATTATTGAGATAAATAACTGCTTTCTTAATTGATGTTTTTAAAGATTATACTGCACTTCACTTACTTTAGTAATAGGTAGTTTCTTTGATTTTTTATTATACGTACATTATATTCATGTATGTAAAATTTAATTTGAATTATTTCAATGTGTAATATACGAGATCTGCAGATTAATAATTTTTAAAAATTTATTTAAGTATTGCTCTATCTTAATATTGATTGATTGATTTTTTGTACGTTTTTTATTATTTTATTTTCTGGTTTCCTCTAATTACATTTTCAGTTTTTTTTAATAATGTATCTTCTTTTAAATATACAAATTTTTTTATTTTTTCTAGAAATTCATATATATGTATATATATTTTATTTATCTTTTTTTGAAAATTATATCTATAACTAACAGTGTAAGATGTTAATATCTATTATCAAATATATTTTATGCATGATAATCTTTTTTTTTAGCCCTATTAAATTCAATGATTATGTCTTATATTGATAATTATTTTCTCATTATTCTCTTAATGAGTCTTAATAATTTTCGAAATGAGAAGAAACGATTTAAAAATTTATAAAATTGCTGAATTGATCGTGTATATTGCTCGAAATTATAATTGAAGTATCCTATAGCGAGTTTTCATAATTGCTATTGTTTTTGTTTGAATTTACTAAAACGTTTTTCAAAGATATTTAATCGTATTAGAGTTATAATAAATTAGAGCGATAATGAATAAGCATTGGTCTTTCAGATATTTTTTCTTGGAGAGAGTCTCTTTCTCGCGAATTCTCTTTTATCGAAATCTTTTTTCCTGTCTCTCTAATTACAATAATAGAATTCAAAATTACATAGTTTACGTTACAACTCTGCTTTGCATTTGATAGTATTCTTATTACGCTTTTATATTGTGATATATTTTGAAAAGTAGTTCATGTAAAAAGTTAAAAAAAATTAAAAGCACAAACAAAATTTTATAATGCAGTAAACATATGTATAAATATCGAAAGTGCGAATGTACTTATGATATAAACTAGATATTTCAGATATTATCGAACAATCGCACAGCTGCGATAAAATTGTAAAAAAGAGAGATGAGGGGAAGGGTCAGGGAGTGCACATATTTATCTTATCATTAAAATTATATATTAAGATAAGTATATTAAGATAGCTATATATAATCGCTTTATAAGCGGTCGCGCAACCGTTTCGTTAGTAGCAGAAGTTAGTTAGAATAACGACAAACATGGAGTTAAGTGTTTTAATTGGTCTCTTCCTCATCTGCACTGCGGCTGGTAAAAATAATATCTGTCTATTTTCTTTAAGAAAAAGAGACGAATTTTTATACGATTCCATATTTATAGATTAATTTTTTTAATCTAAATAGAAACATAAACTCGTTACGTGCAATATATTTTTATTTTATTTGTATAGATATATATCACTTTTTCTTATATCTTCCCTTTCTCGACATTCTATTATTTCTTGGAAGCAAATAGTTTTTTTTAAAAAGAAAATCGATAGCAAAATTTTATGTAATAGAATATATTTTAGAAACTTGATATTTTCGAAATGTAAATATCTCGAGCGTAATGACACGTTTATATTAAAAATATTTTATCGTATTTTTCTGCGAAAAAAGAGAAAAATAAAATTCTTGCTATTAAAAATCTGTAAAATTCAATGACACTTAATAAAAAGTTGTCTTTTTCATTCATAACATTACACATTAAGAATTTCATCTGCTTGTGATTACAGCACTTCCAAGGAAAGAGCAACGATATAATAATAATGATATTTTTACACCAAATGATTACGAAATGCTTAAAGAAACGACACTGTACGTGTATGACGATAATGAGAATCTCGTGGAACTAACATTAGATGACGAAGTGGAGACTTTAGGAGAAACTCAGATGGATATCGAAGATCGTGTCTCTTTCTACCTATACACGAAAAATGATCATTTCTTGGGAAAGCGTCTTTACGTCAATGATCAGGATACTTTAAAGAATAGCGACTTTGATCCTACCAAACCGACACGTTTTATAGCTCACGGATGGATGAATTCTGGAAGTAGTCCAGCATGTTTTCTGATTCGCGATGGTATGTTTACTGTAATGATTATTAACGAAAAAAAATGCGAGATTATTAATATTATTTTTTTTTTATATTGTTGTTTAAATTATTGTCAATTATTGTTGCTTCTTGTGTTGCAGCTTATATAAATAATGAGGATAGCAACGTTATTGTCATTGATTGGAGCAAAATAACCTTGAGGAATTATGTTTGGGCTACTAATCGTGTCGTTATGGTCGGTGAATTTGTCTCGACCATGATTAATTTCCTCGCTAAGCAAGGAATGGATCTGTCGAAAACCGTACTGATCGGTCATTCTCTTGGTGCTCATGTAGTTGGAATTGCTGCTCGCAATGCTGAGGGCGAAATCAACTTCGTTGTAGGTAAGTTTTTAACGAATTATATGACGGGATATTCGATGAAAGATATTTTATAAAATAAGTGATATACACATATATTAAGTTATGCATACAGGTAACTATTTTTTTGAGTGTCATTAAACTTTATAGATTTTGAAAAACTATTTAAATACAAGAGTACTATTTTTTTCAGAAAAACAATATTTTTCATAATACATATTTTTTAATATAGAATATGTCATAATGCAAAATTTATATCACGTTAATTTTTTCGATAGTTATTTAATTTTAAATATTCACTGACGTAATGCGAATTTTTGCGAACGTTCCAGGACTAGATCCAGCTTTGCCTGGCTTTAGCTTAGCCCGTCCAGGATCCAGGATTTCGAACGGAGACGCGCAATACGTGGAAATCATTCATACGAGTGGCGGTCTTCTTGGCTTTTCAAAATCGATCGGCGATGCCGATTTTTATCCTAATGGAGGGAAATCTCAAGCCGGCTGTGGAATGGATGTCGGTGGAGTGTGCTCCCACTCTCGTGCGTACAAATTCTTCGCCGAGTCCATTGACAGCTCGTTAGGATTCCATGGGAGAAGTTGCAGTTCTTTCACTCGATTTAAAAAGGGTTTATGCTACAACCAGAAAACTTTTCTCATGGGCCATAAGTCGGAATTGGATGCGCGCGGTGACTATTACCTATTAACCAATTCGAATTCCCCATACGCGAAAGGCATATTTATTGATTGAAAAAGAGACAAAGAGACAGAGATATAAATAAATATATGTATTTATGTATGTACGTGTATGTATATATTATATGAGCCGAAAAACTCCCTGACTACGTCAGACTGCGTCAGAGCGAGAATTCTGGGATTTGGAAATTCATTGCGGAACAGGAAGGAGATCCGCGCTGGGCTAAACTCGTTTCTCTCAGCAATCGATCGGACGCATTCACGGTGCGTAATTTCGTTTCCGCCCGCAGCGGCTGTTTCAAGCGCGAGTATTGCAAGCTCTCGTATCTCGCACGCGCGCGCGCTATTCTTATAATCCCGTCTAAGCCGGGAAATCGGTGGCTACTCTGGATCATCGGTGTATCATTTATTGAAAGAACAAAACAATGCGTTATACCGCGTTGTGCCGCGCGCGCGACGTTTTGCTTCACCATCGACCCAATTATTACCGGGTGTATAAGCAGGGAAAGAGAGACGTATTTTGCGAAATATATACATACGTCTCGTATAACGTAAAACGCATCGTAACATTTTATTTGAAATGCAAAATACTCGGAGGAAGGATACTCAGTGCTTCTAAATGCAAGCCAAGTCGGCGTTAAATATACATATCAATTTCTCCTCTGTTGTCCGTTATCTCCGCATATACGACTCGAACGCTTCGGTCCGTGCACGCGCGTGCAAACATCCAGCGAGATACACGGCCTCTCGAAACGCGAATTGCTCGGACCAGCTGCGGACTTAGTCGCGGTGCATTAAATTTTATCGTAATATATCTCATGTGTATCGTGCATAGCAACAAAGATAATAAGGCGATACGGAAAACAGTTGGATTAAACCATGCGTTGAATTTTAGGCTCCGGGCTGTTTCAAGTAAACAGACGTAGATATTTATCATTTTGATATAATGCACGAGATAAAGAAAAAGAAGAAATAAAAACTTTGCAAAGTAAGAGAAAGAGAGAGAGAGAGAAAGCTCGTCTCGCTCTAAACGCGAGTCTTTTTCGTCAAATAATTTTAGCGTAGATGCAGACACAATGTTGATCGCAGCAACTACGACAATTATGGCTCATATCTAGTGCATTAATTGTAATCGTTATTCTTTAAAAAGAATCATGCATGAAATATTCCAAGTATTTTAAATCTACAATGCTTGATGGCCATGATTGTTGCGTGATATTCAATATAACAAAATGTGATAAGATTTATACGATAGAGCACTCATGTACAAATATAAATATCATATTTTTACAAAAAACAATTTAAAAATGTGTCTTTTTTGTTACTATACTAATCCATTGTAGACCTATATAATTCACGAAAGTTGAGCGTTTTAGAACATTAAAACTTTAAAAGTTTAATTCTGTATATAATTTTAAGTGTCATGTAATATACAGAAAATATTTGAAGAAGTAAAGTACACGCATATATACAATATATATTAGGATACACATATATATCGAAAAACATACAATACATAAAATTAAAATTTTTATTTAAAAATTTTTTTCGTCAATTATATTAATCGTGAATTATAATAATTTTAAATAATATCAAAACTAACATTTATAATATTCGGTTGCTCTTATAGCCATAATGTAATAATCATAATACTTTAATAAAAAAAATTTAATAATGTTAACTAAATATCTTTTATCTAACATAATATTTGTGATTGAATTGTTTCATAAGATTTTAAAATTTGAATAAAAAGCAAATGCTCTCTGAATGGTATGCATAATTTACGTGATATTGAAGCATATTTACATTGGATATTGGCATTAGAATCACAGAAGATATCGAATAATAATATATGTTTGAAACAAATGAAAAACAGATACATGCATGCGTTCAAATGATATAAGTAAGTTTTAAAATGTTACGTAATTGATACAGAATGTTCAGTTTAAAAAAATTAATCCTCATCGCTAAATTATGATGCGATATCTATAAACGATAAGGCGCCGAATGTTTCCAGTGCGGATGTATTTGTAGGATGTGTGTATCAATTGTTCGCGCTCGCAATTGAAATATCTGCGATAAAAGTTGGTGAAGCCAGGCGAGTTTCATTAACTAGTGAACAATAGGTTCGCCGGATGCAAGCCAGCCACCTGAGATGAATAAGGGTCCCGAGTTGGGATAGGCAGACCGAAAAAATTCTGATGCAGGACGTCCCAGACAGGGATACATTTTCTTTAGGAAAAGATATGTCTTTGTATTATATCTCTGTCAAGATAATCCTATTACCTATATCAAACACATTAATGTTCATTCGTATCACTCATTCTACACAATGTAATAAATCATTTTTTGGCTTACATGTAAATGATTTTATCATATTGTGTTTATGTTTTTACTGGCTTAAGTCACGTGTTGATCATTATTCGATAAGATTACCTTATCAATCAAACTTATTCATAGCTGAGTATAAACGATCAATTCTAAAATCTGTGAGAGTATTATCACGCAGTGCACGCAATTGTATTCATCTAATATAGTTAATATAATTAAATAATCAATTTTTAAAAATTTTGTTTTATCTTATCCCGTTTTAGGTAGAATTTGTCTTTTATATGCATTTGAAATATTTCTTTTATTTTTCATAAGATGAAAAGAATTATATGTATACATATAATCTATTCATTTCTCGTTTAGTGCTTTGACATTCGAAAGTGCAGACCTTTAAATAAGATTTACACAGTCCTAAAATTCAAATACAATTGGCACGTAGAGAAGCACGTTATTCAATTGTAGCGGCAATAATTCTTTTCTTGTCTGACACGCCCTGTCCGAGGTGTAGGTCAAGATTAAAACCCAAAATTGACGTCGAGGGAAAAATTAAAGTTGTAAAGTTTCTGGTATCTATCAACACGAGACGGGTCCATATATCAGCATACGTAGCGTTCGCTGCCTGTGTCTCAACCGTGGAAGTGTTGTCCTTCCTGTCGCGTTCAAATTGTAAGCTCGTCGAGGACCACTTTTTTCCCGGTACGGAACAATCCCTTGGCGTTCATTTTTTGAAAGTATCGACACCGAACGAGAATTTATTTGCTTCTTTTATAGTTGATATGTCGTTCAAGAAAACCGTCATGTGTATACATACATGCGCATTTGCAAAACTGCGATACTTTGATAGAAATATTTTCAAATAAAAAACAAAATAAATAAAAAGTATATATATTTTAAATCTTATTCTTTTTATTACAAAAAGAAGAACTAATTAAACAGCAATTGTATGAAAAAGAAACTAGAGTGAATATTTTGTATTCACGAGACAAAAAGATGATATTTATTTATCAAATATATAGCCTCGAACGACATATTACAGAATGTCAAGAAGACATGTGTTAAGTAAAAGAAAGATGGTTATCATTGCACGAATATTATCGCAAAGTCGGCGATGATTATCATGGATAGTCTTATTACGGAATCTAAGAGCAGAGAGTGTACAATAACGTGATCGCCGTCATAATATTATTCTATCTTTAGCCGGAAGCAATCTTCTTATATCGAAGCTTCCAATTAGGGAGACGGAATAACACGGCGAGCGTATAACCCGCGGACTCGTTTTCCACGTTGGTCACCCTTCGAGGTAGATAGGTACATTTAATAATCGCCGCACTTCATTTTTTGTACCTTTGCGGCGACTCGTGTGGTGACCAATTATGAATGTGAGAAACCGGGACGAGACGAAGAGTTTAAAAAAGAAAGTCTCGCTCGCTCTTTTCGAAAAATGCGCGTGTAGTTTATATTTCATATACGCGAGATTATATTTTTACGTTCGCGCGATCTTAGAAAACGAATCATCTAATCGAATTATTCTCGTTCGGATCTCTTGAAAGCGATTCGCACATTCGATCTCTCATTGCCAGTTAATTCAGCCGAAATCGTTATTGTCGCGGTGCAATTTGGGGCTTCCGTGCATTATCGTATGCGCACGCATACAGTAGTCATCAGAGTGTGCATATGTGTGTACACAAACTACATAAAATAATTGCTAAATGAATTGCCCCGCTGTTTTTCCCGCCGTTTAAGCGAACTTATTAAGCGAATATTTTAATTAACGCGGCGATTAATCACGTAGATCACACATCCGGTCGTCACGTTTACACAAATATATTATTTACGCATTTCCAAAGAGTATCCATCGTATGCCGAGGAAATGAACTGATAATATTGCATTATACGCATAATTGCGCCAATTATGGGTGACTTTTGTTGACTAATTATACGAGATTCTGGAAATGTTTTTCCGATAAAGCGTCGAGTACAGCGCGTATCGAATCAGATGCGTAGATGAAATTTCATAATCGCGCGAAGGGAGGAGGCGTATGAGAAAGAAATCGTAGGGCAAGTAATGGGAGAGCGAGCGACGAAAACGCATAATTTTAGATCGTAAATACGTAACCCGAGCTAGGGTGATCACGCACTTACGTTTAATTGGTTCTTATGACGGTCATCTTAATTGACCGTGCGACTATTATCGTATAGGATTACCGTATATTTATACGGTACCTTATGATCTTCGCCATGTGACTGTTGAGTCAAATTGTTAGAAATTCAAGATTATCATGAATAGTGGACTTTAATATGCATAAAAGAAATATACGAAATTAATTACTTAAAAACACTTTTTCTTCTTCTTCATAATAAATATTTTATTTTTATCAAGTAATTCGTACATCGCAGACATATAATATATACGCGTTTTATTTTTATTACGACTAATTAAATAGATGTTCTTCTGAGAATGTGAAAGATCCTTTCCAACAATCGATGTTGATCGCGTATATATTATATGCCTGCGATGTACGAATTACTTGATAAAAATAAAATATTTATTATAGAGAAGAAGAAGAAGAAAAAGCGTTTTTAAGTAGTTAATTTCGTATATTTCTTTTATGCATATAAAAGCACACTGTTCACAATAATCTTGAATTTCTAAAAATTTGATTATAAGAACTCGCGAGATTTTTCTCGTATTTTTAGAAAGCGATGAATAAAATCGTACATGACGAACGTCAGAATACAGCTACACGAGGTTTTCCAAAAGTGGTCAAGGTGGGGCTGGGTGGACAGGTCGTTAATAAAGCTTGAAGAAGGGCCATTAATCACGGGCTATCTCGGAGTCGAGCTTGTTCGTGTAAATACCCGCGGAGATATTTACCCGAACGCGCGTAAGTTGTGCGTACGCGCGTCGTCATCCGTCCCCTTTCAACCCCCTACGTCATCACGCGTCTTCGACTACGCGACGATCAATGTAAAGAACTCGGCGATAAAAAGCGAAAAAGAGCTGGACGAGGCTGGGAAGAGGGACGGAAACGGGAGGAGGGGAGAAGGGAAGGTACCCTTAGTCCAAATATTGGCTGTCCATTTATCAAGCGCGCCGAAGGTTCGATCCGCGCTAATTAGCTTTCTTCCTGCGCCACGTCTCGGATTCCGCTCCTGCATCGCGCGCGACGATTCGTGCATATAACGCTCCTTTATTTATTGCTCTTTTGATCTTGGATGCGTTGATAAACGACCGGTTCATATCACGAATATGATTCGTCGCTGGCTACTAAATCACACGCCGGCCAAGCATATTGGCCAATTGACTTTAGTTTTATTGTAAGAGTCAGAAAGAATTGAGAAGAATTGTCTTAGCAAAAAAAAAAAAAAAAACCTATGTTGCATCTTCAATAGAATTTTCGCGTCGATATTTTGCATTTTTTTAGAATTAATAATTTTTCGTGCTTTAAAGTTATGAACAATTTTTCATTTGATATAAAAATAAAAATATGTATATGGATAAATTACATGTAGTCATTCTACAATTATGAAATTATTTTTCTCATAAAGTTCGTTTATCTGTTTTTAACAACTTTAAAATTTTAATATTGCAAGTTGGATTTGAATATTGATCACGCTTTTCTTCAACGTATGGCCTCTACAATTTCTAGATGAGTCAAATCTTTTCCTAACAAAGTAAGTTCGGTCTGTCAACATCGTCTATCTAATTATGATCTTTGGTCATCGTGTTATCTGGCATAACGAGATTCACCGGAGAAATTCGTTGGAAGCCTTCCAGAAACGAACATACCTTTTTATCTATCATCTGCAATGACGCACGGATAACAAAGATGGCTGACTACAAACGCGTAGCCCAGCTTTATGTCTGCGAGTGTATTCACTTGCGCACGAGCACACCTATATATATATATATACATATATACACGTGTGTA